AGAAAAATGACTAAGAAATTGTTCAGTATTGAATTACATGAAAATTTCAAATCATAGTTACTCTTGTAATTTTTCGTTTTACAACCTGATATGACTACATATTAATTTAGCACATACACACACACACAATATATGTGGATATGACTATGGAACAAACAGCAAATACGTGTAAAATCTACATACATAACGAACAAGTATGATGCCTGATGTAGCGCAACAATAAACGAAATGGGACAAGATGAGAAAAACTTAATCTGATAAAATTATTCGTAAAAGTCTGATTGTCTTCAATAGGAAGAGACAATATATAGAATCCTCACAAAGCTGAAATCCTACCTTACCAAATAAATAATTTCTATATAATATGAATTATTCAAATCCTAATTAAGAAAAGAGAAATAAAGCATAATAATAAAATAGATAGCAAATAAATAATTAAACTAAGGACGGTAAACGATCATATTTATCCATAAATGCCATCGCGATCTCGTCTCCATCATCCTCCCCCGGTTGGGGAGAATTCGCCCTCGAATCCGTATCGATCTTGTCTCCGTCGGAGTTATCACCAAGGTAAGGGACCAAATGCTTGACGTTAAAAACGTCTGAAGTCCGAATATGCGACGGTTAACGAAGATGGTATGCATTGGGATTAATCTTCTCCAAGATCTCAACAGGACCAATCTTGCGGGCCGACAGCTTATTGTACTCATGCACCGAGAAACGATCCTTCGTCAAAACCGCCCAGACAAAATCACCCACGTCGAACTCAACATGCCTGCGCCCCGCAAGTCAGCTTGCTTCTTGTAGCCCGCGGTCACCGTCTCCAACCGGGCTCGGGCGGACTCGTGAGTCCGGCGTAAATCCGCCATGAGCTCCTCCGCACGTGGGTCGGCTGCCGAAGCTGACGGCAAAGCGAGCAAATCGGCGGCCCCACGAGGACAGACCGCGTACACCACCTCAAACGGAGAGAAACCTGTCGCACGACTACGAGTCGAGCTATGAGCGAACTCAGCCTGTGGAAGACGTTGATCCCAACTCCTCAGATTTTCGCCAACCAAACAACGTAATAAATTGCCAAGCGAGCGATTGACGACCTCCGTCTGGCCGTCTGTCTGAGGGTGATAAGCGCTACTGAAATCTAACCGCGTGTTGGCCAGGCGCCACAAACTACGCCAAAAATGACTGAGAAAGCGCGTGTCGCGATCAGAAACAATAGACGAAGGCAGGCCATGCAGACGATAAACCTCACGAAAAAATAAGGTAGCAACATGAAGTGCATCCGCGGTCCTCTTGCAAGGAATAAAATGGACCATCTTGGAAAAACGATCAGCGACCACAAAGATAGAATCATTACCTCGCTGAGTATGAGGCAAACCCAAGACGAACTAATGGCTGTCCACGGACGAGAAGGAATCGGTAAGGGCCTGTAAAGCCCGGCATTGGACGCCACAGCCTTCGAGACCTGACAAGTACGGCAACGCTCCACGAAACGAGCCACATTACGGCGCAAAGATGGCAAAAAAAAAAAGAACGACTCATCAGGGCAACGGACCGATCACGACCCACGTGCCCGACGCCATGAAAGTCCGCCACCACCTTCAAGCGCAAGCTAGAGTCCGGAATGCACAACCGCACGCCTCGGAATAAGAAACCATCAGCCAAAGTATAATCATCAACAGGGCCAGAGGAAAGGCGAGAAAAAATGGGCCCGAAAAAGGGGTCAGTAGCATACAGATCCTTCAACATATCAAACCCCACAACCTCAACCCGCATATCAGTCAATAGTAAAGAACGGCGACTCAAGGCATCGGCCACACGATTCGAAGCACCCGAGCGATGCTTGAGAACAAAAATGAACTGCTGAAGATAGATGTCCATGTAGCATGGCGAGAAGAAATATTACCTTGAGAAGAAAGGTGGTGAAGGGCCTCATGGTCCGTGAACAAGACAAACTCACGCTGAAATAGATAATGCCTCCAATAATGAAAGGTCCGAAACACAGCATAGAACTCCATGTCATATGTGTTGTAACGTAAGCGCGGGCCCGACAACTTTTCACTAAAGTAAGCGACCGGGCGCCCCTCCTGGCTCAACACAGCACCAATCCTGACCTTCGAGGCATCACACGAAAGCTCAATTGGTAGAGAGAAATCAGGCAAGACCAAAACCGGAGCAGATGTGAGTTTGCTCTTGATAAGATCAAAAGCAGCAGCGGCCTGAGGGGTCCAAACAAATGACTTGCCATGAAGGCAGTCGGTAATAGGAGCCGTGATAGAACTAAAATGTGAAATGAAACGGCGATAAAAAATGCGAACCCGTGGAAGCTACGCGCCTCCGTGAATGAAGTCGGAGTCGGCCACTCCCGAATAGCGGCGACCTTGTTGTCGTCCACGCGAATTCCCGCAGCCGAAATGACGAAGCCCAAAAAAAGAACTGAGTCGACCACAAACGAGCATTTGCGAGGCACTGCATAGAAGGCCTCGGA